AGGAGAGAGAGAGAGAGAGAGAGAGAGAGAGAGGAGAGAGAGAGAGTGTGTGTGTGTGTGTGTGAGAGAGAGAGAGAGAGAGAGAGGAGAGAGAGAGAGAGAGGAGAAGAGAGAGGAGAGAGAGAGAGAGAGAGAGAGAGAGAGAGAGAAAGAAAGCCGAGAGAAAAGAAGCGAAGAGAGAAGGAAGCGAGAGAGAGAAGAGAGAGAGAGAGAGAGAGAAGAGAGAGGAGAGAGAGAGAGAGAGAGAGAGAGAGAGAGAGAGAGAGAAAGAAAGAAAGAGGAGAAGAGAGAGAGAAGAGAGGAGAGAGAGAGAGAGAGAGAGAGAGAGAGAGAGAGAGAGAGAAGAGAGAGAGAGAGAGAGAGAGAGAGAAAGAAAGCGAGAGAGGAGAGAGAGAGAGAGAGAGAGAGAGAGAGAGAGAGAGGAGAGAGAGAGAGAGAGAGAGAGAGAGAGAGAGAGAGAGAGAAAGAGAGAGAGAGAGAGAGAGAGAGAAGAGAGGAGAGAGAGAAGAGAGAGAGAGAGAGAGAGAGAAAGGAGAGAAGAGAGAGAGAGGAAGAGAGAGAGAGAGAGAGAGAGGAGAGAGAGAGAGAGAGAGAGAGAGAGAGAGAGAGAGATTTTCCCCCAAGAACAGACAATGAAAAATATAAAAAATAATGATCATATAAAAAAAAACGGCGAGTATAATTTTGTTACCCCTGAAAACTGAAAAACGTTTTCCTACATAATCCAATATTTGAAGTAAGCTCGTGATGTCTAATCCCAACACTGGTAAAATTTGGCCCATATGCAAAATAATTTTACAAAAATGTGAATTGATAAAAAGGTATCACTGCCAAGAATTATTAGATAAGAACAAAATTAACAAGACTCCTAGTATTATTTTAGGCTCGTATACTATGTAAACAGAGAGCGATGGCGCGAAGATGTGAGGAAAAGTAAGTGATTTTCGTCCCAAGATAATTCCAATGTAACTACGAAGCTTTCATGGTATGTTGAAGAAATTCATGATTTCATTCTCCATGACAAGGAATGTAAAATATAATGTGTGTTAAAGTATTTTACGTACCTTAGGACTAAGTTTCGTGGTGCAAGAGGAGCTGCTTTCAGTTCAGTTTCTTTACTATTAATACATATATTAATTACACATTTAGCGGAGACAATATTCGTACTGTTGTTGTTAACTTATACCAATTTATGATGCTTTTCAAGAGAATCCGGCCCGCTAAATATCCTTAAAAGGACTCAGGATCAGAGTATTTATCGGATTAGGAAGTAAATATTTCGTCTATGACAACATGACACACGCATGACAAAATATAGTATGATGTGGGTAGAACAAATTTGGTGCTCATTTTCTGCGCAAAATATTGTTTGTCAAGAAGCAGCCTCCCTCCCTCTGCCTCCCAACCTCACAGGCTCGGGCGACCTACGAAAGACCAGGGTTATGGGCTGGGGGAAACAAGATATATTTAAATGTATTTGACTTCTAGCTAATCTAAGATAGAAATATGGATTATATGATTGGTAGAGGTTACAGACACGGAAGTGCGTAGATAGAGGGAAATGGACACCGCCATCTTATAGAGGATAATAGAAGGGGATATCATAGTTGAAGTTTCCTTAATTTCATCAATTTTATTGATTCCATACTATACTGTCAATTATGATTGTCTTGCACTAAAACTGTATGAATAGGATTGCATCAAGTGATGTCATGGTCACTGCACTTGGCAAAGACAAACCAACCTCAGATATGCATATTCTGAAAAGATAGAGCATAGGCTGGTTCCTTATTTGACAATAAATTGCCCAGGCAGTTTACAAACTCTTCTGTGTCAAAATCTATTGCTGAAGCATGAAGTTTTGGTGCCATGGAATAGCCTAATGCATAGATTAGCAAACCTTAATGGACTCTGAAGTATTTTGTACATATTATTTTTTATACTTAACAGGGTTGCTGTATGTAGTCTGTTCTCTATTACTATTACAACAGTTTTTCAGTGTTTATGCAGTTCTGTTCATATGGTAAATATTGTAAATAATTTTATTTATTTCAGATTGTGACACTCAATACTCATAATCATGATATGATAAGAGGCATATGATACTGTAAGAAACTTTTCAATTTATTGTTAGCAAACTATACTTTATATACATTTTGTTGGCAGGTATATCTGCCATGTGTAGTTTCTATAAGAAATATAGATTAATTTGCAGATTTAAATGCCAAAGATGTGAGGCAAAAAAACAAACAAAAGCCAAAATGATTTTGCTTCAGAAATGTTTTTTTACAACACTGTATTCTCTTCCAGTGCCAGTCATCTTTAAAGAAACTGTTTGATAGCTATTCATCACTTTCAAGATTTTTGGAGCTCCCTGGTCAAACTAGAAGGGGAAGACAACAGTTGTGTTCATTGTGAGACATGTGTGGGCAGACCTTATGATGACACAGATTTACATGTTTTGTGGCAGAAAATTGCAGTATTGAACACCCAAAGGACCTCTTCCTGTGTAAGTTCACTGATTTTAAATTTTCCAACATTGGGACATTTTGTAATTACAGTGTCTGAAAATATACAACTAAAAGTAAATTTCATGGGTACTTAAAGTGCAATGTTTTTATAGTATATTATGCATATATTTTGTGTTAAAGTTTTCTTATTACTTGTTTCTCTTGTATATTTGTGTATGGTATTGGATTATTTATAGTTTACCATAGAGTTAGAATACCCGTTTGAATATAATGATAGTATTATGTATGCATTTCTTTTAATGGATACTTATTTTAGTTGATTCTGTTTTAAAATACAATACATGAACAAAGATTTTACAGTCGTAACCTTCAGACTCAATTAATGCCGTATTGTATCTTGTTCCAAGTCAGTACAGTAGGCTTAACTCATATGCATACCTTTTATTTATGCTATTATTTATGATTTATATTTTTATATTTTACTTGTATTAACAGTTAGGAAACTTTAAGTCTTATTGGGATATTATTATGACTCAAGATATAGTTTAAGTAAATAGTTAATTTCTTTTTCTCTTTTGCAGGATGAAATAGTTATTCTAAGCTTGTAGTCTTGCAATAAGGAGATCTTTCTTTGGAAGGAGAGGTGAGAAGAATGAGCTTATCTTTTGAAATTTTGTGTAAGTACAAAATGATGAAGTGAATTTTGTATCTGCACATAATTATCTGCAATGGGTCATGAAGTTGTGTAGTTATCAGATAATATTTATTTATCAGGCAAATACATTGTTTACATTTTTTAATCCAGTACACCAGGAACCTGTTATCTTCACTGTAGTTTAGTTTTATGAAATCTGTTTACATTGGTGTTGTTTCTTTATTGATATATTATAATGTTTTTAAGAATGCTAATAGCAATATAAACAAAACCCAAAAATCAAGTAGAAGGGTAAACTGGTGATATGGGTAGGACTAGTCATTTGTTTCTTAGTGACTCGGCAATTATGGTGCTATGAAAATGTAAACTAAAGTGGGTATGGCATCTATATACATACCATCCTAGGTGGCAAAGGATTGATATTAAAGAATTTAATAGGTAAATAATATCTTAGAATTTCAGATGATTATGTCTTGTATAAATTTCTTATATGTTTTCCTTAATGGGACTGTCTGCTGAGTAACCTATATGTGACTAGTTATTCGCTCATAAAATGATAACACATTGAGATTATGATTAGTAAAATGATTGGAGACCACATGATTGTGTTTCTTTTAAGCTATAGTTTTTAAAGTTATTTTCCAGGAGGGTTAATGGCCCCTCCAGAAACTGAAAATGTGCATAATTTTATATAGGTCATAAGGTGGAGAGTAAGTTTACAAAACCATTGCTCAAAAAGACATAAAAATAATATAAACCTACTAACCTACTATTTTTATTATTATATTTTAGTTTCAGTACTAATGTTATATTAAAAAAAAAAATGTACAGTGCATTAGAACTTGATATTATTTAATTAGTGGTTTGTTATATAAAATAAAATACAGAAAGAAGTGGTGTAGAAACCCACATTTTAGGTACAATTAAAATTTACAAAAATATTAAATGTATGTAAAATTTTGGTGTGTAATTGAAAGTTTATTCTCAATAATAGGGAAAAGAATATAATCCTATATTGGTAATAGATTAGGGGGATCACTTGGCCCATTCAGCAGTCACTCCTTTACTATTTGTGTTCTATAGTATATTTTTCATAAACTCTAATCTTAATGCATCTTGAATGATTTAGCAATACTTAATATGACTAAAACAGACCAATAGTTGACCTAATGTATTTTAAGAACATGTGATGTGATAGCTAACATCAAACAACTGAGACATTTTGTATGTTGGTATATTCTTACAGATTCTGCAAGAGAGACTTCAAGTACAAAAAAGGCCTTAACTTTTGAATTCCCTTAATGACTTTCTTTGGATTTTCCTCTTGTTTTTTTGTTTTGATTTTGTTTTTTGGTATATCTATGAATGACATTCAGTTACATGGTCAGACATTAATTAACTCTGCTTAGGCTTTCTTTATTAATCTGTTTTGCCTACAGTACTTTTCTTTAATAGTCTATTGGTAATTTAGAATGTCAACCTGGATGCAGTACACATCGCTGTATTCCTTTCTTTATAATTTTCAGTGAAAGATCTGAATACAAAGTTGGAGGAATACAGTGTTAACTTTTGCATATCTCAACTATAGTTTTGCAGAAGAAAATTAATTGAGTATTCAGCATTTACTTCTGATGTGTTGTAGTTCTTTGTTTAGAAGAAAATGTGTTGATGCATAAGTTTTGTAAAGATATTTTACATTTTGAATCAGGAATATTATATAGTAAAATCTGAGAAAGGTAGTAGAAGCTAAGGAAAATAAAATATTATTTCTGTTGCAGGGAGAATGTGCTGAAAGTTTACAAGTAAAGCAACATGAGTAACATTGCAAGGCTTGAGAAAGACAAGCGGCGTGCAGAGAATAAAAATAACCTTAAAAGGTTGCTAGTTTAGCCAACCTTCTAGGGCAAGAGCTACAACAGGCAGGAGACTATGATGGCGCACTGGTCCAGCATCGTGAGGAAGCAGCCTTGTGTGAGGCTCTCGGTGACACCATTGGTGTGGCTGTGGCACAACGCCGCATGGGGGAAGTGTACAGTGAGATGGGAGAATGGGGAAAAGCACTCCATTGCCTAAATAAATACTTATCTCTTGCCAAAGAGGCAGAAAGTTTGGTGGAAGAGCAGCGTGCTTATGCAACCCTTGGTCGGACTCACTTGCAGAAAGCAGAGGAAGCAGGATTGAGGGGTCAGGAAGAGGACCAAACAAAGGCTTTGACAGAAGCAGAGAAGGCTTTTTTACGTTCCCTTTCTGTATGTGAACGCCTCAAAGGAGCAGTTGACTCTCAGGAGCATAGCCAGATGCGGTGTCGGCTTTACCTTAATCTTGGATTAGTTCTGGATTATCGAGGAAATGCTAAAAAGGCACGTCACTTCATAAGCCAAGCGCTAGATTTGTGCACCAATAACAGTCTTCACGAAGATGCACAAAGATGCCATTCAGCGCTTGGGGTTATCTTGCTACGAGAAGGCCTCCTGACAGATGCCCTTCAAGAGGGTCAAAAATCATTAGCTTTGGCAGCCAAACTTCATAATAAAAGTCTCCAGTGTGACTGTCACTCATTCCTTGCACAGGTCCATCTTGCTAATGCTGACTATGAGGCTGCAAAAAAATGCTATCACAAAGCCTATAAACTGAAACACCCTGACCTTGAAGATAGGGAAAGAATTGAGAAAAATTTAAAATGTGTTGTAAGTATGTGTGTAGCTGAGGACTCTCTAGTGATGATGGGAGATGGCACTGATGAAGAAAAGATAAAATTATATGAAAAACTAGGTGATGGGTCAGCCCATTTGGGATTCTACACTAAAGCAATTGAGTATTACCAAAAAATGTTGGAATGTGCTGTCCGTGCGAACAAAAGCCCTTCATTTCTTGCTCCTGTATATCTGTCTCTTGCTCAAACATATTCTGATAACAAACAGTTTTTGGAGGCTAAACAGTATTACATAAAAGAATATGAAGTAAAGCTTCAAGAAGATACTAGTGAAGCCTGCAAAACTTTACTCACCATTGCAGATGTACGAGAAAGGCTTGGAGAAAAGTATGATACACTCTCAGATACCTATCATGAAGCTAGAGCATTGGCTGCTAAAGACCGCAATCCAAAACTAGAGGTTTATGTGCTGCGTTTGTATTCTTGCCTTCCTGGTATCCCAGAAGATGTAAAATGTGAGCTCAAAGAACAAATGAATGCACTGGCAAATGAAAATGATTTAGATCCAGAAGCAGACTTGAGTGACGAGGAAGAAAATGAATGTGAAGATGAGATTGACTTAAATCTTGTCAACTTTTCTGACAGTGAAGATGACCAGGAAAACTTTGACAGGCCTAGGCAGTCACGTCAGAAGAAGTCTCTTGTGGTAAAGAGAAATGAGAAAGGAGAAACCCCTTTGCATAAGGCTTGCATAGATGGGAACCTTACCATGGTGCGGAAGCTCCTACAACAAGGCCATCCTGTTAATCCTCGTGACAATTGCGGTTGGTGCCCATCCATGAAGCAGCCAATCATGGTTACTATGATATCATTCTTGAACTGATAGAGGCTGGAGCGTGGATTAGTGATCGAGGAGGAAAAAGTGTTGATGGTATCACACCTATACATGATGCTGCATCTTGTGGAAATATTGAGATTGTCAGACTTCTTATGAACAAAGGGGCCTCAGTCATTGCTAAAACTGATGATGGTGATACTCCCTTGGAAAGTTTGGTAAATTACAGAAGAAGAGCAAAACTTTCTAAAAGGGATGAAGAGGAATGCATTAGACTTGAGACAGAGCTGAAGGAAGCAATGAAACGTGCTGGGCACAAAATACCAGCCAAGGCTTCCGACTCCTCTCCATCAGACCGCTTTAGCCCCAAGGAATCCCAACCGCTGAAAAGGAGAGCAAATTCACATGCATCTCTGTCTGGGATAGAGGAAGTGTCGAGACCAAGAAGGTTTAGTGAAGAAAAGACTGATAAGAGTAAGCTGAGTTCTAGACTGGGCTTTGAAGAAGAGGAAAGTGAAGGGATACTGGATGATGAGTTACCTGACCCTTGTGCTACTGGTAGTAATACTGATGAAAGACCATCAAGTGCATTTTCTCAAGGAAATCCAATTGAAGCTGATATTGAAGAAGACTCAGAAGAATTTGTTAATCCTTTGCTTATAGATTTACAGGAGCCAAAATCAGCAACAGGAACTTACCTGAGTGCAATTGAGAGTGTGGGCAGTGCTGTGCGTAGAGCTGAATTCCAGAAGAGTAGCTTATCCCTTCCAAAGGATAAGAAGCAGGCGCTTGTGACTGATGAGGAGGTTGTAGATGATTGGTTAGATGATGATCTCGGTATATTTTCCAGAAAAAGGAAAAGGGTAGAGAAACTTGAATTTGAATACAAGGAACCCAAGAGGGAACGTAGAGTCCTGTCAGAAAAGAATTCATCAGAGAGAATATTAAGTCGGACTAAAAAGGTCCGTCAGACAAAGTTGACTTCGATTGTACAGAAATATCCAGAGGACATCCATGATGGAAGGAACAGTCCTTGCACAGAAGGTGATTACAGCTTGAGTGACATGAGAGACAGTCCTGTAACTACAGAGACCAGCAGAGCAGTTGATTCTCCAGCTACAAGTACCCATGAGAGTCCAATCACTCCCAGCAGTACGCAAAGTACTATCAGTGGTGGTGCCTTACGTCTCCGAGTTCGAGTTCAGAATCGTGTCTTATTGGTGCCAGTAGCTGGTGCTGGACAGAACCGGACAGTAAGTTGGCTAGCAGAGGAGGTAACACGCAGGTATTACCAGCTAGCTGGATTACGTCCCATCTTACGCTGACAACTCAGGATGGTGCTGTCCTTGATCCCAATGATCCAATATCTCTTGTGCTACCTATGGAGATGTCAGAGTTGCAGGCACAGGTAACAGGTTGGGACTTACCACCTTTGCCTGATCGCTATAGCCAAGCATGCCAGGCTCTTGGCACCGTCCCTGTTTCGTCAATCTCTTCCATCTTGCACCGCACAGAAGCTTCAACCAGTCTTGATCTTAAGCATGTAAGGCGAATCACAGCACTACAACTTCAGCCAGTTCTCAGGGCCATTCAGTGCCAGCAAAGCTTGCGAAGTATAGATCTGTCACATTGTCGATTGGGAGATGATGGCTTCCGCCACTTGATAGAAGCCTTGCAATCCTTACCATCACTTGAAGCTTACACCTGAGAGCTGCAGCTGTGACTACATCAAGTTTTGTCACACTTACAGAAGCCATAACTTCTGGAGAAGTTCCACTAAAATGTTTGACATCATTAGACATGAGTTATAACACACTTTCTGGAGTTAAACTTTCCCACATAGGGATAGTTTTAAGCTTACCATTACTCACTAGTTTGATGTTAAAACACTGTAGTATGTCACTTATTGGACAGCAACAAATATCTTCAATATGTTCAGGTTTAAAAACATTGTCACTTGATTATAACATCATAAACAGTGTGTCCCTTGCAAACTTGCTATCTTGCGTACCACAGGTGTCCAATCTGACCCTCAGTGGTGTGAGAAGTAACCAAGAGGCAAAGAATGACTCCAGTGCACGTTTGGGTGTTGCATTATCTGGAGTCCTGGAGCTGGAGAACAGTGTCTTTTGCAACAGCTGGACCTTAGTTCTTGCAACCTTGCAGATGCTGACCTCGAGGATATCTCAGCTTACCTATATCGTTGTCCCTTTTGACCTCCATCAACTTGGCACACAATCCAGGCCTCACATCATCATCTGTCAATGCTCTTCTTGAGGAACTCACAACAAATCTTGTTCTTCCACTCACTGATCTTAGCATCCATGGTAATAAGAACTTCCCAGTGCAGGTGTCGGCAAAGATTGCTACAACTCTAAGACACAAAGCAGCAACAAAATATCCTTTGAAAAAAATATCAATTTCAAGCATGGACAGCAGTTTACAGTTGAAGACCTTTGGAAAGCACAGCATCAGAAAAAAGCCAGCGTAAACACAGTAAGCGGTGAATTATTTCTTGAATGTGTTGAGAGCTGAACTTTGTGTTATTGGAGTTGGACATTTTTTAAAATGTTTTTATAGATATTTTATGATATAAATGTTGTTATTGATATTTATTTGATGTTTTTTATTGAATTATCCTTGTTATATTGGGACATATTGTTTAGGATTGGTGTCTGTGTTAGTCAATATTTTTTGGGAGATTCATGTTAAATTATTTATTATGATAAAATGGGATTTCAAAGAAGGGCAGCAGCAGCAGTTTCTTAGTTTTTTTTGTGTTATATATAGATTATTTTATTTTGACAAGCACATGCAGACACGCGCACACCACCCACACGTGTATGTGTGTGTGTGAGACCTCGAAAACGACCTCCTTGTCTGTGCAGTGGCAGTACAGTGCTACACAATTTCTATCAAAGGCCAGCATAAATCCTACACCAAAATTGACAAGATTAGCTTCTGTAGCCATAACCTTCCAATGAAGTTTATATTAGTGGACTGTCCTGCCCAAACCAACTGTATGGACCCCTTCCTTGTCAGTGTCAGAAATGTTGGCGTTTTAGCCACCCATTCAAATGCATGTCTGCCAATTGTAATGGATCCCATAATGTATTTTAAAGGACCTGACCGAATCTGAGGTAGCAATTAACAGATTCAAACTTGGCCTCACTACTTGAGACCAGACAGGAAGCACGCTGACAAGGATTTTCATTTATTCCAAGGCTGTCTGCTCCGCTTCCCTCCCTCCTCAAGATGTCTCAGCATCTCCCACAGTATCTCTTCCCTTACTCAGAACCATCATAGTTCTACTCCTCCTCTAATCTCTACACTTTCCCGATGCCTACCCCTCCTCACTTTACCAGTTGCTCCAGGCAATCTAAATCGTTCTACTCCATCTACCACATCATCTCTGACACTTTTCCTTATACTTAGACGTATATCCATTTTCTCTTCTTCATAAGAAAACCTTCGTTTCTCAGCCTTCCCCTCCCAACTCCCCTTCAGAAACTCTTGAAACCTCCGAAACTTCCTAAACATGACCCAAGAAAATGCTTCCGCGCCCTCATCCACCCCCAATATCTCAATTCCTATTCCCTCACATGGAAAGTAATTGTCGATATCCATCCTCCTCAAGTTCCCCCAACCCTTCTTCCTCCCACTCTCTCCTGACACACCATCTTTCCGTTGTCCATGTGCACCATTCCTTCTTTCCCCATTATCCTTACCGCTCTCACCTGGATGCTCATGTGACTCCGTTACAAGTATCCTCCGAATCCTTCCCCCTCCTGACGTTCTTCCTGATACTTCATCACCTTCCCCTGGTCCCTTATCTGATTACCCTGTTTCTTCTACTTCTCTGACGTTCATTCATACCTTATTACCCGTTGATTGCTTCATAATGGCTCTTTTAGTGTTCCTCATACAATGTTCCTCTTCCTTCCTCAGACATAAATGTTCTCCATGTGATCTAATCGCCATTCGGCCTTAACCCCCTTCCCCCTTTTTAAAAAAATCCCGCCTTCCTCCATCGACTTCCCCTCTTTACCATTTTCACTAACCTACTTTCGAATAGTTATGTACAATCTATGACATCAAACACATTTTGTCCCAATCATTAACTGATTTTTACCCCTTTCGCCACAGTCCTTTACCATATTGTTGTATTATGACCTTTGATGTGCGCATTTATGTTTTAATCATTAACCACTATGGTTATTCACTTAGAAATGTAAACGCGTATATAAGATCAAGCTGAAAATCTGATGCTACATTTCATGGTTTATTTGTGTATACTTTCTTGCAGATAAATTTTGCTTTTACGTTTGTTGGCATATTTTGTAAGTTCCAAAAGGGAAGAGTTACCCTTGAAAATTTTACGCTTTCTATGAGTAAAATGGAACGTCGTCGTTTTCTTTGGAGGATGGATAGGATATACTATTGTTTATATATGATGTGTTTCTCTGCATTACTAACGTTAAATAACGGCTTAGTTAATAAATTAGAATATATATTTTTTGAATAAGTGTAATGATAACATACATAATCATAGTCATGATAAAAATAATAAATCTACAAAGTTGTATGTTACGTAAAAAAGACCAATGTAGATAATCATAAACATGCAGAAATAAAAATAACAGATTTATAATATTTTAGTTATAATATACCGACAAACAAACATGACATTCTAATGACGACGAACGCCACGGATTTGAGCTTCAGTAGATAAAGGTAGGTTCTCAGTTCACTTGCTCCTTGCTGGCGGTTGGCAAGTGTCCCGCTTGAGGTCTGACCACTCAACCAATTAAACGAGAATTTGTGTATCATGACTGGATTGCAGACTTGTTTACAAAATGCATTTTACGCTTTGTGACTAAATACATACTTTCATATATTTATATATTCATTATTGGTTTAATCTTGATATGCTTATTATTTTCACATGTGTAGTGCACATTACTGTTCCTACCTACGAATGATTTGAACTTAATTGGCTACGTGAAGGTCTACAAGTATTTCCTTCGTGAGTGCGGTCACTGAGCAGTGCTTTTCGTATTTATCAAACGCATATTTCTTTTTATTATCACTCGGTACCCTACATGCAGTCATGGCGCGCAATATTTTCTATATATATGGAAACTAGAGAGTGAGAAGAACCCATCGATACCAAATTATCACGAACCGTTACGAGCCGCTATTCTGAAAAGTTACCCCGTTGAACAGTTAATCCAGGTTGCATCCCTCCTAACCATGTTTAAGCTTAGTAGGTAAATACTTACGTTGACGCAACAATAAATTAGTCACGGTATCAAAAAGTACTACTGGTCCCGGACCCTCTTGGTTCCACAACATTAAACACTTCACGGTTAATCTCTTGGAATTTGAAGTCTCTAAATACTGCGACAAGGGCAGTGTTTTTCTTTGTCACTATTGTTTCCCAATAAATGAACATTTTTCTTATTCATTTGGACTGTTCCCCCCAACTAATACTTTAACATTTATTTTCTTGAAGTCATTATTTTCACTTACTGATGATATAACACTACAATTGTTCACTATTTTTGTTCAGTTAATGTTATTTTGAGAAATAATTACTCACAATGACAACAGCAGCAATAATATGAATAATGATGATGATCATGGTGGTGGTGGTGGTGGAGGTGATATGATGATGATCGTGATGGTGATCATGATGATGATGAGATGATGGTGATGACAAAAAATGATGCTAATGCTAATGCTAATGCTAATGCTAATAATAATAATATAATAAAATATAAATAATAAAATAATAATTAATAATAATAATAATAATAATAATAATAATACTGATAATAATAATTATCATAATAATAACACAAACAACAAGAACAATAATAATAATAATAATAATAATAATGAGTTGCACGTTATGGAAAATAGGCAGATGTAAAACAAACGAAAACAAGAAAACGGCAACTGAAAGACATCGGGAAAGCACGTGGAAACATAAACAAAACAAATAAACATGAAAAATCCTCTCCTGACTCTCATCATATAGAATTTTCTAATTTTTCTCTCCCTCCTCATGATTTTTCAAGGAGGAGGAGCGGAAGATTAGGAGGAGGAGGAGGATGAGAAGGAAGAAGAAGAAGAAGAAGAGAAAGAGAAGGAGGAGAAAAAACAGGAACGAGGAAGAGGAGTAGGCGGGTGAGGAGGAAGAGTTGGTGGAGGTGAAGTAAGGAGGAAGAGGAGGAAAAAGGAGACGAGGAGCGGAGGAGGAAACGGAGGCGGAGAAGGAAATGAGGATGGAGGAAGAGGTGGTACTGAAGAGTAGAAGAAAATGGAACAAAAAAGAGAATTGCTAGAGGGGAAAAAAAAAAAGAGGATGAGGTGGGATACTGTGATTAAAAAAGTATTAATTCATGTATGATTGGTGGGAGAGAGAGAGGGTGGAGAGAAAGCGGTAAAGACAGAAGGAAAGTTGCAGAAATTTCTTGAACTCAAAAAAACGAAAGATTTATTTGAACAAAGTAATGATACAACGAAAGGAGAAAAAGGAAATACAAGAGCATGGTTTTCCAAAAAAAAAATATCGACGAAATAAATTTGCGACAAATACTTCTACATTTATATCTATCTTTCCTTTGCGCTCTAGAATAATACTTAATTTCAGATATACAAAATTTATTAGTATTGTATCAGTTCATAATCCAAAATTAAAGA